TCCATATTTACTCAAGAAAAGACAACTCGAGTTACAATTTTTAGGTGAAGTTTTATGTTCGGCTATGGGTAACTCGAAAATTTATTCGAGTCACCAGCCCTCTCTGGCCTCCTTTCTCAAGTTCACCCTAACCCCTGAATTTGAGTTTAACTCTTGACTTCTGCAGTGTTCTCGCGTGGCCTCCTTTTATTTTTTTTAATTTTTTAATCATATTAAAATGCATTAATTCAAATAATATAAAATAAAAATAAAAAATACATTTTCTATCCACTATTCACAACTCAAGTCTTGGTACAAACACAAATTTAAATAGATTTTCATCTAAAACCATAACTCAAGTATACACAACTAAACACAAACTCAAATTATAAATTTGAACTCAAATTATAAATTTAAACTCAAGTTATAACTCAAACTCAATTAAAAAACTGAACTTAAATAACCCTAACTCAAAAACCCAACTGAACAACCCATTAGACTTTACCTATATAAATAACAGTAAACAAAACAGCCTATTATTGATTTTCTGGCTTTGTTATAAGAATTATCATTTCATGACACGTCAAAATGTGGAAGTTCTTTTAACAATCTGGAGCTTTTTTGTAAAGCCTAATTTTGTGGGTGACTGCAACAGCCACAACATAATCCTAACAAGTTGTTGGCTTTTCTGCCGTTGCGAGCTTTTATTTTTCGCAAGTCTTATAAGCAGAAATGGGCGAGCGTCCCCACCCTTCGCACAAAGCGTTAATTACATAAATATACCGTCTAATTTAAGTATTTTCTCAATTTATCATTCTATTTTTAAACTTTATAAATATATTCCTTAAATTTGAAAGTTTTATTTCAATTTCATCCACCACACACTTTACGAAGAAAATGAGCAAAAAGATTTAAGATTATGGAAACATTTTTAACATTTACAAAAACTAAAAAAAAAACTTTAACACAAACATAAAAGTTCAACAAAAGATAGGGATATTTATGCTTTTAAATGTTTAAAATAATTTCCATAAATTTTTACGAGAAAAAGTATATATACATATACATATATATATATATAT